GTATAATAATAGCCTGACGAACGCACAGGGCTCGTGATCTTCTCGCGAGTTCGCCCCGCGTTTAATTTTCTCACGCAGGAATAAAGCCGAGAACTGAGACCCTTTCCTTAATTATTCGTGGTATTTCATAAATTTTGCTGATTCTTAGACACCAAATAGGATTTGGGAAAATTTCTAGATAACCGCTGAAATATTTTCTTGTTTTTACTGCTGGCTTAAGACTTTCGTTTCACCACCTGAGTTCTGCAACATAACGTAACAGCTCTGTTCTCCAGGCTTCTTAGAGTTTTAGTCACTGCACTGAAAGAAAAGTGGTTCTTAAACTTTCGCTTTCTATTTTCATTTCCTCTTTTAACCCTTTAAATCGTAAGGTTGACAGGCTTCTAATTTCTCCTTACAGTATCACCCTTGAATCAAATGTAAAGGTTATGAGAATAATGGAAATGATCACCAAGTTACTGTAAGAAGCTCCTGATTATCAAACAAATTCTCCTTGTGGTTACCATAGGAAATGTACAGAGATTAGAGTGGAGAATATAGATATCAATGCAGAGGTGTAAAGGGTAAGAACGGGAGGGGGAGTGGGCTGAAGGTTCACTTTCAACAAACGGGCGAGAACAACGAAAATTCCTGAACAATACCAGCATCTGTAGGCCGCATACGAATAACATAAATTTAAACTAAAAGTTATTTTCCAGATCCAGAATCCAGAGACATTGAAAGAAACATAGTTTTAATTTACATTTAAGTTTTCTAAAATGTAGACAAAAGATCTGATCGCGGGAGCTCGTGCTGATTATGAAAATGCAACAACAACAAATAAATCGACAAAGATAAACCGCGACATAGATAAACATTAACTAAGCATAGACAATAGGCGGTTAAGCAATAAATAATCTAAAGTACAAAGAAAATAAATAGCGTTTCAAAACTAACAGTCTCTGTTTTTGATTTTCACTCAGTGAAACCAAGTTTTACTAAACATATTTTGCTGGTGTGAATGAGGTCTAAGACATACTTTGAAAGTTAAGCTTTGTAACAAAATTGTCAAAACTCATTTTTAACAGATGACATGACACTTAACTTCGACTGTCTAAAACCGCTTCATATTTATTGTCTTATTTGCAATTAAGCGTGTTAAGTACAGTTGAGCGTCCTGACAATCTCCATCTGTTGATATGCCTGAAGAAAGTTCTTATTTGTCATTGGATTATATAATGTTGGCATTGACTTACATCTTAAGAACACACATCATAACTAGTGTCTACCTTTTATCGAGCTTCATCGTTTTGCGATAAAAGGGAACATTTAATACAGAATCACTATCCTGAAAGGGGAGAATTGTCCAGCTAAAGAATCACAACACATTTTATTTATTTGGATTAAGGGTTCCTATTTCTTATACATGAGTTAACATCATGAACGAATTGTTTTGCAAGGAGTCTTCGCAATATCTTTGTATATACGCCGAACTTGCAGATCTTCAATCGACTTTTATCGCCAACTGTGTCTTCAACATTTGTCTAACTTACACCTCGAACATGTTCAATATTGTGACAGTCTATGCCATACACAAAACCTCGACGATGGCAAAAACTTTGAAAACCCTGCTGCTGAGTCTTGCCTGCTCTGATGTTGCGGTTGGTTGTTTAGTCAACCATTATACATTTTCCTTCTAATCAAGTGGCTAAAACGGCACAATACCGGCTGTAACACTCTGCTAGTGTGGACTATTTCTGGTACTCTATTTTCAGCTGCCTCGTTCCTTGGTGTTGTGGCTGTAAGTGTAGACAGATTCTTAGCTGTTCATATTCATCTCAGATACCAAGAGCTTGTTACTCACAAGCGTGTTGTTATTTTGGTGATCGCCATGTGGGTGTATAGTGCATTTGTTTCTTCGATTATATTGTGGGAGTTACTCAGTACTCGAGATCTTATTACTTCAGTTTCTGCGTCTTTCGGCTTCATTCTGACATTTGTGGTGTACATGAGGATATATTTAACTGTCCGACGACACAAGAATTAGATTCAGTTCATGCAAATACGAGACAAAGCTCAATCTGATGAACTGAAAAACTTTGCCAGTCTCATTAAGTCAACAGTTGGTATATTCTACGTATTTCTCGTGTTTTAAGTTGTTATTTGCCTCTTTTCATTTCCATGGCTGCTATTCAAATATATGGCTCGAATTCCGCTTTAAAAAAATTCCATCTTTTCTCATGGACTCTCGTGTATCTAAATTCAACTTTGAACTCTATCATTTATAGCTGGAAGATAAGACATTCGACACGCTATCATGGACATACTGCGGAAGGTGTCCTGGGGAAGAAATCAGCCATCTCGTGTAATTTACAATCGGCCATTGAGCGTGGTCCATGTTGATAACTGATCCACTCTGTGTGGCCTAACTTTGTATTTTCTCACCTCAATGGCAATTACGTCAACAGAATAGGCACTCGCCAAGATCGCTATTTGAGCATGCGCGAACTTTCGAGCCACGCGGTTTTGTCGAGGACGAATGTGTGAACATAGACGGTCATTATCTTTGACGTTTTTGTACAAACTGCTTTTGACCTGAAAGTCAGTTGAGAACATACCTTAATTCACTATGTCGTAGAATCCTTGGAAATCTCTTCGAAGTGTTTCAAAATTGCGGAGACTATTCTCGTCGTGTTTGTGACCCTTGGAAGCGATGAGCGACTGGACAATGGCGGTCTCGTCAAAATACACACAAGACCTTTCCGTCCAAATCGTTGGTACAAATTATTTAAATCCTCATATCTTAGGCCACTGCCAGCAATTTTTTCGGCAATGCTTTGCTTTATTGGGCTATCCGCATGACCTGGGTTGTACAGCTTTCCTCGAAAAGACATCTCAGAGACTACTGGGTTGTCNAACGCAACAAAAACATAGGCAAGTTTTTGGTCAGAAGTTCATTCCAAACTAATGATCAACCCGGAACTTTTAAATGCGCTCGCGCACGATGCAAAACTTGTCCCTTAATTCACAACGCTCAGAAAGTATCGGGACCCAAGCGACCCATTAAGATCACCGATCACTTCACGTACACCTCCGCCAACGTAATCTACGACTAAATTAGGAGCTTCACATTAAGAGTGTCACGTTTCGTCCTCAGAAAGAAAAATAAACAGAAGCTGGTATTTAAGAGGGAAGGAAAATTGACGGTAATAATTGCTATTGAGTGGATTAAAAAAATAAGGATGCTCGATAGGCTTGAAAATTGAAAAAAAAAAAAAACCGAAAAACATTTCGTTTTCCTTTACTCTTTCGAGATAAAAAGTCCAAGCAGAAAGTCCAAGCAGAAAGCTGAACATGAAAGCGAAAACAGAGACGACTTTTAGAGTTATTGATTAGCCCGCATATGGCAGAAAGGGTTGGGAATTAATGTAAAATGTAGTCAAAAAACAATCTCGTAATAAAAGTGCTTAAAAGTCTATTTTTACAGACAATCGACGGCTCAAATCTTAGGCATATCCATGATAATTACGTGGGAATATGAAAATGCCTTTCAAAACCTAGGAGAAAATGACCGGTCCTTTAGGAAGGTAAATGACGCATGAACGGCTTTAATGTCTTTTTCCTGTAGAAACCAAAATTATACGCATTTACTTCTAACGGCTGAATAAAGGCTGAAGGTTTCTAAAGAAACTGTGGTGTTGCGTCGGTGGGAGTAATAAGGTAATTTTGTTATGTCAACTAAGTTGAAATTGCAAATTAACAAACGTAACTTATGCAAAAGTTTATCTTTCAAATCGGCGCTCTTAATCCCACAGGTATCAACGAACGCTTTTGATTCCACTAATTCAGTCGTGTTTTTCTCGTCACCATGTTCCCACCAATGTCGTAGCTCCGCTTTCTGCATATAAACCCACATAAAACCCACAATTCCTCCATTCGCTTTGACGAAGCGCTAACGCTCGAAACGTCAGCTTTTTTTATTCGTTACGGTGGCTTACAATTTCAACTTAGTTTATATAACAAAATTACTTCTAACAGCAACGATTATTGCAAACGCCCATTCGTGAATAGCAAGAACTGAGGTGTTAGAAAATCGATGATATCAAAAGTTCCATAACGTATGTTTTATTAATGTCCTAACAAACATGAATAGCTGTCACTCGATCGAATAAAATTTAAAATTAGTTTAATACATTAATTTTGTCTTTACTCGTGGGCTCTCATGTTTTGTTGACTCCTCTTTGAACCCTCTCATTCATTCCTCAAAGATAAGTTCGTCACATTCAACATGCAATCGTAGACGTACTGCAGAACATGTTTTGGAGACGAAAATCCCCCATCTAACTTTATTTACAATCGGTGATCAAGTGTCTTCCATGTTGATAACTGAATACCACTAAGTGACTAACAAGGATAGTTAATGATAGTGTATTGGGACTGTATACTGAGATGTAATCCAAATGCAAACAGTAGCCTAGNGTCCTGCTAAAGAATCACAACACATTTTATTCATCTGAAATAGGGGTTCCTATCTTTTATACGTGAGCTAATATCATGAACGAATTGTTTTGTACTGATTCTTTGCAATATCTCCCCACATACGCCGAGCTTGCAGATCTTCGATCGACTTTTATCGCCAACTGTGTCCTCAACATTTGTCTAACTTACACCTTCATCATGTTGAATATTGTGACAATCTATGCTATTCGCAAAACCTCGACGATGGCAAAAACTTTAAAAACTCTGCTGCTGAGTCTTGCCTGCTCTGATGTCGCGGTTGGTTTGTTTACTCAACCATTATACAGTTTCCATTTGATCAAGTGGCTACAACTGGATAATCCTAGCTGTAACACTCGGCAAATGTGGATTATTTCAAATCTCTTATTCTTAGCTGCCTCGATCCTTGGTGTTGTGGCTGTAAGTGTAGACAGGTTCTTAGCTGTTCATCTTCATCTAAGATACCAAGAGCTTGTGACTCACAAGCGTGTTGTTATTGTGGTGATCGGCATGTGGGTGTATAGTGCATTTGGTTCTTTGACGATATTGTGGGTGCCATTCAGTAGTCAATATCTCATTAGTTTAGTTTTTATGTCTTTCATCTTCATTCTGACATTTGTGGTCTACATCAGGATATATTTAACTGTCCGACGACACAGGAATCTGATTCAGTCCATGCAAATACGAGACGAAGCTCGGTCCGATGAAATGAAAAACTTTGCTGTTCTCATTAAATCAACAGTTGGAATATTCTTCGTATTTGTTGTGTTTTTAATTTGTTATTTGCCTGGTTTCGTTTGCACGGCTGCTATTGGAATCTATGGCTCGAAATCCGCTTTAAAAAAACTCAATCTTTTCTCATTGACTCTCGTATATCTAAATTCCTCTTTGAACCCTGTCATTTACTGCTGGAAGATGAGACGAATTCGACACGCTATCATGGGCATACTGTGGAAGGTGTATCGGAGAAGAAACCTGTCATCTCGAGTAATTTACAATCGGCGATGGAGCGTCGTCTAGGTTCATAACTGATCCACTCTGTGTGGCCTACAAGGCGGACTATGCGCAGTTTACAAATTTACGATAAAGTAAATAGGGACAAAGAAGACTAAACATAAACCTAATGATATGACCCGTCAACCAAATAATTGCGCAGCTCCGAATTTAACTACACAACATATCAAATTGTCGCAACTGGAGAGGAAAAAGTCACTTTGAAAAGGGGGAGCTGGTTTTGTTATGGATGGACCGTGAGATTGTTATTACGAATGGCAATGAAAGAAGGATAGCAGACATGATATTATTCATATCAAAGTTTTCGTAGCTCCAAATTCAAAATCACGATTGAAAAAGACGGGAGTGGATGCGGACGTGAGCTTCGTGCTTTAATTAATTGAAAAGTTTGTCGGTGACTACGAAATGTTTCGCTAACTCTCTGTAAACTAGCACTGCTAACTGAATGATGCACCAGCTTGGAATAAAATAGAAGGAAACTTGTGCCATCCATTCTTCTGCCTCAAAGGTAGAATTCCCAAATTACGCCATATTTTCGTGTAGGTCAGGATGTATTTAACTGTCCGACGACACAAGAATANAAAGATCTAACGGGCAGAACAATGGCCAACACCTGCGTTTTAAAATTTTGTACACTTCGTAGCAGTCCTTTGCAAAACAACAACGTGAAATTACCAAAATTTGCTCAACGCTACTTTTGTGCGTTATGTCGAGTTTGAGGTCTGGTGCCCTAGGAGACGGTAAACACATGCAGCCAATTTCGAAATTATAACTAAAAGTAGAAACTCATTTTTTAATCGACGTCTTCCGTGGCGTTGCCCTCGGGACTGTTTAAGTTCCCTAATAGGAAACACGTTGTTGTTTTGCAAAGGACAGCTAAGAAATGTACAAAGTTTCAAAACGCACGTGCTGGACTATTATTCCTCCAATTAGATCTATTTTTTTCCACGTTCTCGTTGCCGTAGCCGTCGCGGTTTGCTTAAAGTCCCTTTTTTTTAAGGTCAGTGATGAAGGCTGGCCTGCGGGCTAACTTTCCATTTATTTTATTCAATGAAAGTTGTTGCAACTCGCAGAAAGGAAAGAAAAAGAAAGAAGGTAACAAATACGGGGGATAGGGAGGTATTCAGAAAGCGACACAGGCACCAAGTCATGAAGGCACTTAACATATAAAAATTGGAATTTCATCATATCTTTCAATTAAATTAATAACTATGGAAAGTCTCTAAGGTTTTCGGGGCGATCCAGGCGCAAAGCCATGGAAATTCCTTTTTACAGATTTTGCCATTCAAGTACATCACACTAAAATTATTTTTAGGTCATGTCCTGCGAGCAAGCGAGCGAAGCTCGATGAAAAAGTGTGGGCTTCGAGGACAAACATACGAGCATATTTTCGCGCAGCATTAAATAGGGTGGCGAATAGCTAAAGGCCAGGACTAACACTCAAAAAACCGGTCGACCTTGGAAACTCTACTCGGTTTCAATTTACAAGATGTTGACTCGGTCGATAAAATCGGTCACCAAACTCAGTTGATAAACCCAAGTTACTTTGTAACACAGACGCAGCATCCTTTCTGGGGAAGTGCAAAATTAAAACCCGGACAAAGGACCAGTTTCTGGAAGAAAGATTGTTCGTACGAGGAGATGTCCATGATATGTTCCTCAATATCCGTTTCTCTGTATAATAACCTTGCGATCTTGCGGCATCATTCCTTTATTCATTTGCAGTCTCGATTTAAACCGAAATTTAACGGTTTGTGTCAAATTCAACCGCTGCTTGTCGGGACACCGGAGATTAGCTTGTCCAGTTATTTCCTTTCCGTCTCAATAAAAATGACATAAACGTTCCTGTTATGAATTGAGCCGTTTTGTATGGACTTGGCATGCATAGTATTAAAAACACTTACCAAGCTAAACGCAAATAAAATTTCAATCAAAAGCGAATACTAAGCACGTCACGGGCTGGCACAGTTAGCCTTGTTCCCAGGGTCCTCTCTCTCTCTCCCAAGTTCCTTCCCCCTTTTCTTTTGGGAGGAGAATATATTTGCACATCCTTATTTTATTGGATGAGCTTCCCTTGATAAACTATAACAAAGAAAGAGGAGGTTTGAACTCGATATTCTGGGAAAAAAATCGTCGTAAAGTTTCATTTAATGTTCGAATTGCAAAGCACCAATGATAGATGCCACAGAAAAGATAGGCCTGAAAGTTTCGTGTCAGATTATTGGCAAAGGAAAACTTAAAAAATCAACACGTCATCAGTGACGATCTAGGGTAGGGCCCCGTTTATTTTAGGTAAAAAAGTAAACGCAGACGAAGAATAGCCGGCAGGTGTACATATACACACAAAGCTCTGTTACTTGTTAATCAATGAGCATTGTTCCAAACCGTAATATATGCAGAGACGCTTCCGACTATAAAATGAATTAAAGCTCGTGAGCTTTGTTCAACAGGATTATTACTTGTGTAGGAATAAAATTTGTGCATAACTGAGTAGTTGACGACCACCTGCAAACATTTGCCTCTGTTTTGGTTTCATGTGCGGCTTTCTGCTTCGACTAAGTCTTTACCTCGAAAGTATGAAGGCAAATGAGATGATTTTCACTGTTTCTTTATTTTTCAAGCTTATTGGTCAATACATTTCCTTTGTAATTCACTCTTAGGGACCTTAAGCAAACCATGACGGCGACGGCAACGACGACATGGAAAAACAAAAGATCTAATTTGCAGAACAATAGCTCAAAGAGTGCTTTTCAAAACTTAGTACATTTCTTAGCTGCCCTTTCAAAAGAAAAACGTAAAATTCCCAAAGTATGCGTCGTCTACGAGCCGAAACAGCGACGGCAAATCATTTTAATTTCCATTTGGAACTCCACGCTACTTTTATACGTTATGTTGAGGTTGAGGTATGGCGCCGTATGAGATGGTAGACACAGGCAGTAATTTTCAAATTTCTAATTCAAAGTAGAAATTAATTTTTTAATCGACGTCTTCCTTGGCGTTAACGTCGCCGTCTTAACTGCTTAAGGTTCCTAATAATAACGTCAATTTTACTCCCCTCTGAAACACTAGCTCCTGGTTGCTTCTCTCCTTCTGCACTCAGATGTGAGGCAATAAAGTTCTAGTCGCAGGTTCATTTAAACTTTGAACTTTCAATGAAAGCCCTGAAAGTTTATCTTAACTCGTGTGTTACTTTTATTTGTGTTTTGGTCCTGAGGATCTTTTTATCGATACCATGTCTTCTAATTGATCATCTTTTTTCATTCTCATTACCTGCTTGCCCCTATCATGGCGTAACTTGGGGAAATCTCCTCTTGAGGCAGAAGAATGGATGGCACAAGTTTCCTTCTGTTTAATTTGAAGGTGACACGTTATTCAGTTGTCAGTGCTGGTTTTAGGAGATTTTGGCAGAACAGTCTGCAGTCATGGACAAAGTTTACGAGGGATAAAAGAAACCCCGGTACGAAGCCTCATTGGTTTTCAATCCTGATCTTAAATTTAGAGCGACGAAAATCTTAATACGAATGATATCATCTCTGCTATTCTTATTTTATTTCCATCCAGAAATACAATTTCATAGTCTATCGATAACAAAATCAGCTATCCTCTACAAAATATCTTCTTCCTCTCCAATTGTGATAATTTGATATATTTGACAATTAAATTCCGAGCTGCCCAATTATTTAGCTTACGGGTAATTTCACTAAAGCTTATGTTTAACCTTCTCTGCTCCCATTTCCGTTGTCGTAAATTTTTAAACTGCACACAGTCCTTGTAGCCCAAACAGAGTGGATCAGTTATCGACATGGACGACACTCGAGGATCGGCTGTAGTACATCCAAATTGGCGGATTGCTGCCGCCCCGCGACATCTT